GTTCGATTCGAGTTTTTACCGAACCGTTCGGTATACAAGAATCTATTACCGTTCGGTTATTCGGTATATTACCGAATCTAACTAGTTTGGTACGGTTCGGTTCGAGAAAACTGAACCGAATTGCCGACCATTAAAGTTAATTACAAAAATGGTCTCTTGACTATAGCGAATTACCAATTTGGTCCCAAGTTAACGGTTGACTAACAGTCAAATAAACGGAGGACCAAATTGGTTAAGATTTTTAAAGTTGAGGGACTTAATTGGTCAAAAAAATAGTCAATGACCAAATTGATAATTTCGCTATAGTCAAGGGACCATTTCGGTAATTAACTCAAAAAAAAATATTACCAAAAATGGCCAAAATCATCTTCGTGACTGTTCGAATATGGGCGAAGGCAATCTAAATAATTTTAAGCGGAAGGCCGGCGCCTATAGGGACCAAGGTCACTGACAGTAAATAGTTGTCCCCAAAGTTTTTATAATTATAATAAATATAAAGTCAAAATGAATATAGAGTCCAAATAAAAATTCCAACATATATAATATTCCATTTAAACTACATACCGTGATTATTTAAGGAAAAAAAAACTAAAGAAAAATCATTATTTATATTATTCTTTCCAAAAGGTTGAATCCCCAATCCAAGGACTCCACACCACTCATTATTTATATTATTTGTAGTACTAAACATAGCTAATTTAATAATCAAGATGAAGTGGTTACAATTATCTTCCAGTAGCTTCTGAAAACTCCATATCATGTGTTAAACTATCATATACACTTATATTATAAGTAGCATCATATCCAAGAGGGATTGATGGCTCAATAAGTAAAGTCTCTGATTCCATGGCAGTCTCAGAATTATTAACCCATGGATGCTTTGATGTTCTCATCAATCCACTTAGTTCTATTGCAACTTCTTTCATCGTTGGTCTATCCTCCCCCTTGAGATTTAAACACCTCTCTGCAAGCAAGGAAACCTCCATTAACTCTTCTATGTTTCCCTCACATACAACATTGTCATCAAAAATCCTGAGTAACCGATTCGCTTTGAGCGAGGAAAGGAAATGTAGAGATAGATTTCTCTCCTCCTCTGGACCGTTGAAAAATACTGCCCTCCTACCTGTTAACAACTCTACTAGAACAACTCCAAAACTGTAAACGTCACTCTTTTCTGTTAATTGGTGGGTTTGCATGTATTCTGGATCGAGATAACCCAATGTTCCTTGCACCATAGTTACCAATTGAGTTTGATCTTGTAGAACTAATCTTGAGGCACCAAAATCAGATACCCTAGCAGTGTAGTCATTATCCAGGAGAATATTTGTTGGTTTAACATCTCGGTGGATGATGGGAGGAGAAGCTGAAGTGTGCAAATAAGAGAGGACCTCAGCTGTTTCTGTAGCTATTCTTAAACGGATCGACCAAGGTATCTTAGATGCTTTGTTTTTACCATGTAGATGCTCAGACAACGTTCCATTGTTTATGAACTCATAAACCAACAATGGAAATTCTGTCTCTAAACAGCAACCAAAGAGTTTGACTATGTTTCTGTGATTGATTTGGGAGAGCACAATTACCTCATTTATGAACTGTTCAACTTGGGTTGGGTCCATAATTTTGGGTTTTTTAACAGCTACCGTTTGGCCATCAACAAGGTGTCCTCTGTAAACAATGCCAAAACCTCCTTCACCAACGATTCTAGTTTGATCATAGTTGTTTGTTGCTCTTCTAAGCTCTTCAGCTGTGAAAATTCTTGTTGTTCCAGAAGATGCAGTACCTTGGGAAATCTTTTGTTGCAAAACCAATCCTCCATTTTCCCTAAAGAATTTCTCTTTCATCAATATTGATTTTCTCCATCGATACCCCAAATACAGAAAACAACCACTGATCAATAGGGCTATAGTGCCTAAAGCAATACCTGCACATATGCCATCAACATTTCTTTCTGAGGAGGATTAGAGGAAACAATCAAACTTTGTGCTACAAAATAATAAACAAGGCTATTATATTGGTTTACCCAAAACAAGCATGACCGGTCGATGATTAGAAGAAATGCAGCCCAAATCATCCTTTCCATTGCCATGGTAACCCTTATTGCAAGGGCACTCATAACCACCTTCAGTATTTGAACAAATAGAGTTTTTAGAGCAGTTGTTCTTCTTCCTATCATCACATTCATCAATATCTGCAGGCCAATTACAAGAAAATTAAAACAGTACAAAACATTTATAAGGTGCGGGGAGTGCTTCTCGTGCGGTTGTGCGAGTGAACGCACATTAAGCATTACTATGACGCACTTAAAGTACAAAACACACGCACATTAAGCATACAAACAAAACATCTTAAAAACATAAACACACGCACGTTAAGGACAAACTCACGCATGTTAAGTACAAGCCTTACGCACCTTAAGCACAAAACTCACGCACCTTAAGCACAAAACACACGCACCTTTTAAGTTTCAACAACTACTCACATTGAGCACAAACCCATGCACGCACGTTAAACACAAAACTCACGCATGTTAAGCACAAAACTCACGCACTTAAGTTTCAACAACAACTCACATTAAGCACAAACCCACGCACCTTAAGCACAAAACTCACGCAGCTGAATATATATATATATATATATATATATATATATATATATATATATATATATATATATATATATATATATATATATATGGATCAGTTCATGTGCTAAGACTCAACGGCTCAAATCAATTTTTTTTTTTTTTTAAAGTGTCAACATGCATGCAAATGATTAACTGTCTCACACCTTAAAGATATAAAACTATGTAGAAAGAAAACCACGCACCTTAAGGTATAAAACAAGGCATCAAGTTTAAACTGATGCACCTTAAACTAGAAAAATGACAAACAAGCTTTAAATATACGCACTTTAAGAAGGAAAACGACGCACCATAAGCTATGGATTGATGCACCTAAAACTTTAGACATATACACCTTAAACTATAATAGTGACGCACCTTAAGAAGGAAAACGATGCATCTTAAGCTATGGAAAGACACACCTAAAGCTTTAGACTGACGCACCTTTTAAAGTTTAACTAAAAACGCACCTTAAATTTTCAACTGAAGAACTAACGCACCTTAAGCACAGAAACCACACATCTTAAGAAGGAAAACGACACACATTAAGTTTGACCAATACAAAAAAAGGCCAAATTGCCACCGCTTTTATTTATAAGTTTTCTTCAATTTGGGCTGTTGATTTTGATTAGATCAAAGGATTAGATTAAACCTCATCTTATACCTGAAACCTATTACCGCATTTGATCTCTATTATATATATATATATATATATATATATATATATATATATATATATATATATTTTGGTTCCTGTGAGGTCAGGTCTTCCCGTGCAGTCAGTGTGACATACACCATTAGATATGCATAAATGCACCATACAATGTTCAAAAATACATCAGAATGAAATGTCAAAAAATACACCACACAAAAAAAAAAAAAAATACACCACACATAATGGTGTATTTACGAATATTGTGTGGTGCATTTATACATACCTAATAGTGTATGCCGCACTGACCGCACGGGAAGACCTGACCTCACAGGAACCTAACCCTATATATATATATATATATATATATATATATATATATATATATATATATATATAGTGAATTTCATTTTTGGTCCTACTGTTATAGGGGCATTTTCAATTTTAGTCCACCTTAATTTTTTTGCCACTTTATAACCACTATTATTGAATGTGTTCCACTTTTAGTCCTACAGTTAGTATTTCCATCAAGAGGCCGTGTAATCTAGGGGTATTTTGACCTTTCTTCTCATCCAAGACTATGTTTGACTAAAGAAATGAGAACATTAAACCTAAAACCTAAGAAACCTCGCCGATCCATGTTGGAACGAACGAAACGATGTAGCTTTGGCTTCCCATTCTCGTTGTTCGAAGAGCCATCTTCGAATATCGGAGGAGTAGGACGAAGCGCCTAGATTAAAAGAGAAGAGACAAACATAAAAAGACCAAAATACCCTTTGATTATACGGCTTCTTGACGGAAATATTAACGGTGGACTAAAAGTGGAACACATTCAGTAACAGTGGTTGTAAAGTGGCAAAAAAAATTTAAGTGGACTGAAATTGGAAACGCCCCTATAACAGTAGGACCAAAAATGGAATTCACTATATATATATATATATATATATATACCACTGTTTAAGTCAGTCCACCTCTTCCCATGAGTCTGTGTGGGTAGGGATGGCAATTTCAATCCGCCCCGCGGATATCCACCCGAATCCACCCCGCATGGGTCGGGTTTTTTTTGGGTGATAGTGGGTGGTGGATCGGTGGTGAGTCTTAAAAAGTAAACCCGCGGTGGGTCGGGTTGGATTCAGATTCTATGTACAAAACCCGCCTAGAACCCCACCCGACCCACTATATGTAGTTATTTATAAAAGTTTCTATAACTTTGTGTAACTTTTTACTATTTTTATATTTAACTACTAAATTATTTTTAAAAATTAGTAATTTAATTATTTCAATTATTTTATGCATGTTTTAGTATAACTAATGAATTTTATTATTTTATTATGTGTAAATAACTTAAATATTATTTTTTGAAAAAAAAAAGATAATAAGTGGTGGGTACCCGTAGTGGGCACCCGCACCCGGTGGAGGTGGGTGGGTTTTGAAAAAGTCCCCCCAATGCGGGTTGGGGGTGAAGGTGGGTGTGGGTGGAGAAAATATAAGGTGGGTCCGGTGATGGATGTAGCCCTCCCCGACCCATTGTCATCCCTATGTGTGGACATATCTATTAAAAGCTAGAGATCAATAGTTAGATTTGGTCCATTATCAGTTTAATTACAGTTGCACAGTTGATAATAAATCATCTGACAATTGATCTCTAGTTTTTAATGGACCAGATCTATTCACATGGACTCAGCAAGAGGGTGGACTATATATGATGTGATGCATATATACTCATACCTTGGCAACCTGGAGAGAGATAAGGATTGCCTTCATAACCCTCCTTACAACCGCAACGATACCCCTCACCATTGACGGCAACACATGTGGTATTACCTTGGCACGCCGTAAGGCACGTCTGGTTCGTGATGGTCCAGTCAAGAACCATGGGCACTGTCTTCACATCCCACGTTCTGGTAAGCATAGTGGACGAAAACTTGAACTCCTCTTTTTGCACCACGAATGCGTAGCTGCACTTATTAACATCACCGGCAGTGTTGTTATAGTAATTCAAGCTATCCACTGAATAGTACACGTTCCTGGCCACGTTAGGAATCCCTGTCTCGCAACACCCAAACCCGGAACAAGTCCCGTTTGTAACATCCTGTGTGGAGTTACAGGTGGCCATACAGTTACTCCCTGTTTTGTACGACCGGTCATCGCCGTAGGCGTAAACGTTAGCGAAAGTGTCGCACCCGACAGCGACGAATTTGTTGGCGGTCTGATTGACGTACAATTTCAACCATCCCGAGTTGTACCATCCTTGCCGTCGGGGACTAGGTACACCCTTTTGATAACACTTTTGAGATATGCGTTTCATGACCCTCAACTGCCCTTCAACTGATATATCCCTAACCTCCACAGTACTACTTAGAAATGGCTTTGGAGGATTATAGGAGGTGTTGCAAATGAGGGAGAAGTTTGAGTTTAGGGAACATTCTTCGGTCAGACCAAAGGGAAATGGAATGCTTACATTCCCACAATGATCATCGCAGTTTGGTTTGGCTATGGAAGAAACAGTTTTTTATGTGGCGGTAGGAGCAAAACAACCTAGTATTGCCCACAACACAAGTAGTAGTAGTGCAAGGAAGCAGCTCATGTTGTTGAAATGCTAACAAACAACGACGACTTTGGTTTATGTTGGACCTGTAAATTGCATTGGTTTCCAGCTACTATATATATATATATATATATATATATATATATATAGGAGTGATCACATGTGGTCATGTTGTTAGGTGTGGTCATATGGTCAATTATAGACCATTAGATTAGATAGATCCAATGAATCATATTAATCAAGATATTTTCAGTATTTTCGCGCACATTCTCCTACCCAGCGAACTGCAAGGGTAAACTCGTCATAAAACACCAGAATAAGGGAAATCACATGTTTGTGTGTTTTATTACACTATTGGTGCATGTTATCAACACTGTTGGTGTATTCTAGAAGCCGGCCGCTATAAATGGCCATTGTAATTACCATAACACGGGAATACACCATTGGTGTGTTTCACTGTGGTGTGTTTTATTACACTATTGGTGTATGTTGTCAACACTGTTGGTGTATTCTGGAACCCGCCCGCTATAAATGGTCACTGTAATTACCATAACACCCCCACTTACCAAAACGCGCGAAAATTCTCAGAATTACCACTGCTATTAGATTAAACTGATTCAACGACACAGATACGACCACACGACCACACCTAATGACATGACCGCATATGAGCGTTTTTCTATATATATATATATATATATATATATATATATATATATATATATATATATATATATATATAGGGATTATGTAATGGTCTGCCCTCTTGTGGGAACATAAACAAAAGACCAAGTCCAAAGAAGACTTTACTAAGAATACCTAATAAGGAGACTTTTCTTCGTTCTTTGAGTTTTAATGTATATGTCATATATTACATGTTAGCTTAGATTCATTCAAATTTTAAAAAGATTACCTATTTTTTTGAAAGATTACCTATTTACATCTTACTCAGTTAATTGGTAATTTAAAAAAGAAAAACAAAATCCGCTCCTATGTATAATAATAACTTGCAAATTGTACCAACTTACATTTTGAACAAAATCTCTACTATATTAATAAGAGAGCCAATAAAGTTAAGTCTGACAACTAAAAAAATATTTGTCCAAATATTTAAGAGAAAAGGTACAAATAGGCCACTAAACTATTTGGGGATAACAATTAAGACACCGAACTTAATAAGCTCCAAATTCATCCATGAATCCGGAAAAAAAAAAAAAAAGTGCAATTAACATTTTTAGTAGATTTTTTTTTTTGAGCAAAGAAACATTTATTTACAGCGCAAAGCCCCTGAGATCATACATAAGAGCTAACTTGGCTTTTGCCGGCAAAGAGCTATCTGTACAGAAAATCATTGAAGTAGGAAAGCTTAATCCAGCTGTTGCTAGAGCATCTGTGACCTGGTTGGCTTCCCGATAGACATGCCTAATCGTGGAGCCCCAAGTGTCTAGACAAGATCGAACAAAAAGCACCGCATCCCTTATCCTCCATGGTATCCTGGCCAGCTTTCCCATCACCAAGGTGGCGAGGGCGAGCGAGTACACTTCAACAGCGAAAGGATGCTTGGCGAAAGCCCCGCACCACTGCAGCGACAAGATCTCGGCTTCCAAAGCCGATGTGGCTTCGAGGCGGAAGCAAAGACCGACAATGAGGTGACCACGAGAGTATTTTTAGTAGGTTAACAACAAATTTGAACTGATTGGGATGTTATGTATATTGTTATTGTTATTGTTATTGTTGTTGTTATTATTATTATTATTATTATTATTATTATTATTATTATTATTATTATTATTGCCTTAACCAATAGTCAACAGGGCTAGAAATTATGGAATTTTCGACCACCTGAAAATGATCTTAAATCACTTCGAAAGTAAAAAGTGATCGGAAATAGTAACAAAGGTTTTTCCGGATACCAAAAGTGATCAGAACAAGACTTTCGACTTGATTTATCACTTTCAAAATGAAATAGGAAAACTTATTTCTTCTCTTCTCTCTTGCGCAAGTTTGTCGCCAACTTCGAACCACTCTAATCTTTTCGGCTCAGCTTCTCATCGCGAAAGTTGAATGCCTTGAAATTCCGTCCACCTTCTGCAAGAGAAATATATATCAAATAAACTAAACCGTTGAAATAATCATTAAGCATAACAATACATAAATTTATAACGCAACTCGTAGAAGCAATCACCAGATTTGCCTTTAAATTCTTAGACATTTTTGTAAGCCTTAACCAAGAGAGAAAGAACAGCAAAATAGAGAAGAAATTACCAATTTATCCTAGAGTTTGCGGGAGAAAAGTGAAGCTAAGCTGGAGAGATCAGAGTCGTTCAAAGTTGGCAACAAACTTGTACAAGGGAGAAGAAGAAATAGGATTTTCGTATTTCATTTTGACTCTTGGTCAATGGTCAAATGCTTATTAGTAGGATATAATAATAATAATAATAATAATAATAATAATAATAATTTATAAAATAAAATATACACCTGGCATCCTAGTCAGCTCAAACTTGTTGTTAACCTGTTAAAAATGTTAATTGTCCTTTTTACCGGTTCATGGATGAATTTGGAACTTATTTAAGTTCGGTGACTTAATTGATATCCTCAAATAGTTCAATGGCCAATTTGTACATTTTCTCAATATTTAATGAAATAAATAATTCAAATTATTTTGATTTTAGTTATTTTATTTTATTTTATTTTCCTACTTTAATTTACCTTCTATTATATAATTTCTTTCTCAAAATACACATTCACACCATAACAGGGTTGTAAAAATTGGTCTAGGCGCTCGCCTAGGCCCCGCCTAGGCACTAGGCGCCCCTAGACCATGGCGATTTCCCCCCTAGGCGCCCGCCTAGCACCTAACTCGGCCGATTTGGCCGCCTAGCGTCTAAGTTAGTCGAGTTAACTCGTCCATTTCGGTCGAGCTAACCCGATCGGCTCGGCCTATTTTTTTTATTAAATATGTGTGTGTGTGTGTGTGTGTGCGTGCGCGCGTGTGTGTGTGTGCGCGCGCACATATACACTCGTAGACTAGTTTGATACTTTGAATCTTTGGATGATTAAAGTATTTGAGTATTTTTAATTTTTAATATTGTTTTAATGTTTTTTTTTAAACCATTGTTTTGATGTTATGACTTATGAATTATCATTAATTCATTTATTTGGATGTGTTATTTGATTAAATGTTGAAAACAACCTCATTAAAATTGTCAAACTGCAAGTCTACCACTGTTTTTTTTTGCGCCCGCGCCTAGTGCCGCCTAGATTCCACCTAGGCGCTAGGCAATGTCCGGGCGCCGGACTAGCGCCTACTGCAACCATGCTCCATAAGTGTAAATTTTAGTAACGGAATATTCCGTTAACTATTTATTATTCTTAACTTACTCATTGATTTTCATAAAAAAGGTCTTAGGTTTGAGCTCTATCCCAATCAAAATTACATAATTGTTGAACATATATTATGAATATGTTAGAGTGTATTAAAAAAATACAATATAAAATTTAACATTAACTTTGGTCAATTAATTAGCCACAGTATATGGATCGTTATGCTGTGCATCTGTATGCACCATGCATGGTACATCTGAATGCAAAAACAACGTCGTTTTAACGTCTAACTTTAAAAAAAAAATCAGAATTGCATAACTACACATCCATAATTTCATCACATTCATAATTTCATAACTATACATCCAGAATTACATAACTACACATCCATAATTTCATAACTATAAATCCAGAATTGCATAACTACACATCCATAACTTTATAACTATACATCCAGAATTGCATAACTACACATCCATAACTTCATAATTATAAATCCAGAATTGCATAACTACACATCAAGAATTGCATAACTATACATCCAGAATTGCATAACTATACATCCAGAATTTCATAACTAAAAATCCAGAATGAATAAACTAAAAAATGAATAACATAATATTGTTGCTGGGAATCGAAACTGATTTTTTTTTTTAAGTAGGACGCGCGTTTTGATGCAAAACGACGTCGTTTTTGCATCCGTATGCACCATGCATGGTGCATACGGATGCACAGCATAATTTGCCACAGTATATACATAGCTTTCAAAGTTGAGCATCAAAGATTACAAATAAGAAACCTTGAAAATCATGTTATTGCATATATATATATATATATATATATATATATATATATATATATATATATATATATATCTGTGTGTGTGTGTGTGTGTTAAGTTTTTTTTCCCTTTTTTTATTTAATTAATCTTATTTTGATTATTAAGAACAAGACTGAAAGACTTAATATTTTAATTATGCTTTTACATTATTGAAATGATTTAGATCATTATGGTATTAATAAATTTTATATTTATTTCTATAATGATACAATTATAAAATACTTTACAAATATTTTACTATTATTTTTTATCGGACAAAATTGTTGTGTGTTGGGTGTTGGGTGTTGGGGCGGGGGGGGGGGGGGGGTTGGAATGTTTGATATTAATCTACAAACCAACTCCTGGACTTTAAACGGTAGGACCATTGTACAAACAATCGATAATGATGACACACCACCAGTTTCAATTGAACAAGTGTACAAATAATCATTCTCAAAATTTTATCAATGTGTGGAAATTTCAAATTATCAATCTATTGTAACTATATATTTCAAATTATTTATCATCATCCTCTACTGATAGCAATTGTAATTGACAAATCCCAAAACAATGTCTTAACAATGAGTGAAAATTTAAAAAAATAATAAAAAATTAATGACTTCATTGTTGTTGATGAAAAGTAAATTCCTCACTCTATTACTCTTATTAAATTAAATTAGTAGCTACAACCAAATTAAAAATAATACATATGCATTTTTTTTTAAATTTTGAATTAAGTGTCTACAGTGCCTTCATTATCAATAAATTAAATGATAGAAATAATTTCCTTAGTTATATTGTCTTTATTTTCTCCGA